CTCAAGGGTCATATCCCTATCCTAACATTTTGTTTCCCATTAATGTATTTAAAGAAATCCTTACTGTTAATTTTTAGATTTTCAGACAATTTTTTCTCATGCATCCTTTTTAATGTTCTAATTTTCTGTTTCACCAACTTTCTTGATCTTCTATAATCTTCTAAGTCTCCTGTCATACCAGTCAATTTAAATTTCTTAAATTTATTATGCTTTTCTTTAATTTTATTTCTTAAACTCTTTGTGAGCCAATCTGGTTTTTCACTTGTAGCTACCCTTTTCTTTCTATTAGGAATATATTTACATTGAATATTTAAAAATATATCTTTAAAAATTTTCCACATCTGATCAGTGTCTCCAAATAACTCAGCTGCCCAATTCACAATAGATAACTCTTGTCTTAGCCCTTCAAAATTAGCTTTTTTGAAATTTGTAACCTATATATCATTATTCCTTATCTCCATATGCAGCAAAACATTGAACCTAATAGAGCAATGATCACTTGCACCCAGATGTTTCCCAGTTTACACCCTCTCAATCATTTCTGTATTTGAAGTTAACAATATGTCTAAAATAGCAATGTTTCTAATTAGTTCCTTGACTAACTAGTGAAGAAAGCTATCCTGAACCGTTTCAAAAAACTTTCTCCCTCATGGTTTGATTCTAGAATTTCCCAATCTCTATGCCTGAAATTAAAATCACCCATAATTATGACTTCATTAACAGCTGAAATTTTAATCTCATTGTAAAGTTTCTCACTAATTTCATTAATATCATTTGGTGGTCTGTAACAAATTTCAACTAAAAGCCTTTTCCCTTTACATCCAATAATAGAAACCCAAATGGATTCAGTCTCTTTTTTATTATCTTTGATATCCTCAACTTCAACACTATGTAACTCACATTTTACATATAAAGCCACTCCTCCCCCTCTTTAATATTCTATCCTTATTAAACAACCTATAACCATGTATTTCAAAAAAATTTCTGTCATCAAAATCATCTATGTTTAACCATGCTTCAGTTATTCCCATTATATCAAAATCATCCATTCCTACCAGTGCTCTAAGGTCATCTATTTTATTTCTTATACTTCTAGCATTATAATAGTAATAATTAAGCCTATCCTTATAAGTACTTCTATACTAATTTCCTATGCTAAATGTTTCTCTGCCTCTTAATCTTTTTGCATTTAGTTTTTCCTGGTCCTCAGCACTGTCGAGTCATAGTTTAAAACTTCCCTTACATCTGAGTTAATAGCCTTAGCAAACAAGCTAGCCCCTACTGTATTTAAATGTAAACCATCCATTGCAAAAAGCTCCCTTCTGCTACTGAACTGATCCCACAAGTCCAACCAGGTAATTTGCTCATCCTTGCATACTAACCTAAGCCTATCATTTAGCCCTAATGACCTACTTATAACTTCATCCCCACAGTTAATTCTTGGCAGTATCCCTGACACAATTAAGCTATGGCCGTTTTCTTTAAGTACCTTTATCAATCCCTCATACTTATTAATTAGCTCCTCTGACCTACCTTTCCCTACATCATTAGCCCCTACACGCACTACAAAAACTGCATCTTTGTTATATCTCTTGCTGTATCAGTTATATCCCTGGGTAGCATATTTTCTCCCTATTTACCCCACAGACTATTCTATCCACATGCCTTATCAAGGAATCACCTATAACGATAACCTCCTTATCATCGGCATCCTTCTCTGACCCTTTTGTTTTCCTTTCCTCCAATAGCTCTCCATCTGCAGAAGCCAAGGGCTGAAAGTTTTTGCTCAACAAAATAGGCTCATTATACCTAAATTCAGCACTTTTAGCCTTAACAGTACTCTTTCTAACTTCCTTAAAGTAATTGTTAGCTGATGTATCTTTTGCATGTAAAAGCTTAAGCTCCTCCTGAAATACTGCTGCTATTTCCCACAATCTACACTTCACTTTATCTATTGCATCTATTATAATCATGATTGCCTCTAACTTTTCCTCCAACCTACAAACTCTACATAAAAATTGTACATCTTCATTACTAGCTTCTTTAAAAGTACATTCCAGTCCCGAGTTCCCAAATAAAACCCAGATCAAATGTTTTATTAGTGATGATTTTAAAATAACCGAAAACATACTATTATCAGTCTTCCTCTACAATATAGAATTTAATATGAGTGTGTCAAACAAAACTATTCTCAGATTTTGCCATTCATTACAATACTTACCACTGGATATTCCAAGTTATAAGAAAACCTTCCATGTTTTGACAGGAAGCAAAATCGAGTGAGAAATTTCCAGTTCTAGAATATATATAAAATAAAATACAATTATTTACATGAAGAGTTTTTATGTTATTGTTATACATCAATATCTATATGAATGTATTCAAATATGTTTTTGAAGCGATTTTTAAAACATAATCATTAAAATATGACTACCAGTTAGTCTGAGTTGTTCAAAAGTGCCTTACTAGGAGCATCTGAAAGTTAACTGTTGAGTTCGTTTGGTAGAAAGCTAGCATTGCATGCGAAAGGTATGGGATTATGATCCCCAGCGATGAAAAAAAAAGGATTATGTCAGGAATAATATCATCTATCTAGTTGTTAGACAGTCTCAAGATTATACCCAAGACGAAGAAAAGAATGTGGTAGCCAGATAGCTTGCTTGTGTTGTTAACAAATGTACCTTGATAGCCATTGTTCTGAAATTAATCATTAACTCAAATGAGAGAGCCCATGTTGAGGGTAATAAAGGCTCTGGGTTTGCTCCAGTGCGAAAGAAATGCGAAATACAAGATTATCACAAAATCACAGAATGATAGATGGGAGTCTCCCTGAAATAAAAAAAAATAATTAACTTCAATTAAAGAATAAAGCTCATAGTATGACAATTTTATAAAATGTTAATAGTTGTTTAGTTTTTAACATCTTCTGTCTGTAAATTAAAGTTAATAATCTGATCCAACCATCACCTTACTGGTCTGAATTTTCGTTCAGGCTGAAAAAATTCATCTGGTGAAATTCTTCCATCTATTATTAACATTTATAGTATTATTATTTTTCTTTTCTTTCAGTAACTAGCTCATTTTGTTTTAACTTGTTGATTTGATATATCACATGTGTAGTATTCAAATCCACTGAAATTTAATAGGTAAATTTAAAAGTGTTTGCAAAATGAGATTCTAGAAATGTTAAGCAGAGAATAAATTGAACATAGGCAGCAGGGAAAAGACAACGAAACATAAATGAACAAATAAAAGAATCTTTACTGGCACACTGACAGAGATCTGTGAATTTATCAAACTATCAACTAGCTTCTGATTGACAGATTGATTATTCTGGCTGCTGGGGTGGAGAGAGAGTTTTTCTTACAAATGTCCATAAAGAACAGAGTCAAAGGGAATTATAATTTATTGCCATAATTCAGATACTAATATATTGCACTTTAACAGAATTCTATGTTGAATATATCACCAACTGTTCCATATAACAATCACATTGGAGGAAAAAAACACTCATACCAATTTATACAATTTTCTGTATCACCCCTTGAGATGAGCTCACCCATAGAGAATATAAACAGGGCCAAAGTGATATGAGTTTATAGCCAATGACATATGCAACCTTCACCTGAGTAAAAGGATTAATACATGTTTATATGACCATTCAACGTTTGATTTAACTAGAATGTCATAGCTACATGCAAAATTTCTGCACAGAAACTTAAAAATTACTTAAGTAACGGAAGGGTGATATTCATGCTTATTTCAGTCAGTCATTACATTTTCAACCAAGATGCAAAATATATATTTTCAAACACATAAATAGTGGTTTAACTGTCTAATTTTAAATAGAGAATGATGTTCAACTTATGATGATAAAACTTATAAAAGCTAATATAGCTATACAATATTTTGAATTATATTAAAGTCAAAAATTAAAACTTTGAATGTAAAATGAGAAATGTATGTGTTTAAATTCAATTGTAAATTCTAAATCCCAATCTGAACACATCTTTATGATATGAATGTATGAATATTTTGTGTCGGAAAGGGCTGTTATATATACACTTCCCAAATGCGATCAAATTTTGATGGTTTCACACTACTTACGAACGCCAAACAATGTCAAAACTAATTTAGTTCTCGTATGCCGTTCCACCGTGACATTACGAACTGTGGCTGTCACGTGACTTGATCTTTTGCATATTCAAAATCGTTTTAATATAATATACTCAACCCCCTGTATTAGTGTCACCAGGGTAGGTGAGAAATACAGTGGCTCAACGGTAAGTCTGAAGGCTTATAATGTTAAAAATCGGATTTCGATACAAGCAGCAAGAACAACACAGATAGCGTACTCTGTAGCATTGCGCTTAGCAACAAGTAAAAGCTATCTACCTTGATGACTTTTTTTTTATAAATTTTGGTGTATTATACAATTACTAAATTGGAATATAGATTTCAATTATTTTTTAACTTGATTAGCTGCGTAGAATGAACGAATTAGCATTGATTTTACATATTTAGTGACTAGTAGGTTGATCTAACTAAATAAAATTTACATATATTATGATAATACAAGGTTTTCAAAACACGTTTACACAAAGTTCTAAAAATTTAAAACAAAGGCAGCTAAAGAAAGTAATCTCAACTTTTTTATGTAATTACATGCATAACAGTGGAACAAAACTAATAAATTATCGTAAAATAATTTTCACTTAACTACTGACCCCCCAGTAGCACAGCTGTATATCTGCGGACTTACAACGCTAGAAACAGGGTTTCGATACCTGTGGTGGGCAGAGCACAGATAGCCCACTGTGTAGCTTTGTACTTAACTACAAACAAACAAACTTAACTACTGTCAGCGTCACCAACTGGACAGTCTTAAAATGATAAGTATGATTAGTTGATACAATACGTGCTTTAAAACGACAACAGTCTATAAGATGAGAACTTTAATTGTGTTTACTATGAAAGTTATTTCATTTGTAATGGAACTATCATAGGTATATTTGTAGATTGTTTGTCTGTTTGCTTGTTTATTTTGAATTTCGCGCAAAGCTACACTAGGGCTATCTGCACTAGCCGTCCCTAATTTAGCAGTGTAAGACTAGAGGGAAGGCAGCCAGTCATCACCACCCACCGCTAACTCTTGGGCTACTCTTTTACCAACGAATAGTGGAATTAACCGTCACATTATAACGCCCCCACGGCTGAAAAGGCAAGCATATTTGGTGTGACGGGGATTGCAGATTGCGAGTCGAGCGTCCTAACCACCTGGCCATGCCAGGCCAGTTTAAAAGGAAGGAGCATAATTACATATATACATTACATCTTTAATTATATTTGTTATTCTTAGGATAATCCTCCTGGAAATAGCACTTTGTTTTTCAGAAAATACAGCAGAAGCTTTTGTTTATTTTATTTTACTGTCTTTAGT